GGCTCCAGTTCCTGTGGGTGTGGAAAAATGGACTGAATTACAATAATTTTAATAACCTCAGCCTTGAAAACCATTTTGAAACAAATCAGGGATTTTCTTCATTTTTCTGGTGTATGTCAAGCAGAAAATTAAGATAAATGAATGCCTAAATGCATAATACATGGGGATATAAAGAGCTTAAATATCATAGAAGCATGGAGCAGTTTAGGTTGGAAAAGACCTATAAGGTCATGGAGTCCAAATGTTAACCCGGTCCTGCCAAGTCCACCAGTAAGTGACAGGGAGAGGGACAAGATTGCTGCATGTGACAGAATGGAAAAGGAGTACAGTCACTATGGGATGATACATGGTAGATAATGAGGGGGAAAATGCATTTTGACTGCAGCTGAAAAGAGGGGGGGAAGACAAGCGAATGGAAGGGAAATAATCAAATATGTAAATAGACAGTAAAAAATAAGCACTAGCAGAACTGAGAGGAATGATAAATGAGTTAGTGAGGGGAAAAAAAGGAAGAGAAGAAAATACTTTAATATCAAAAGTGGGAATGTGCACAGTTACCTGATATAGTCCACAAAAGCAGTAAAGCCTTATTGTTGGCAAAATGCTGAAATCAGCTACTATGGATCAGCTGTTTCATAAGAGCAGAAAAAGTCCTATACATGAGATGTGGTCATTCCAGTTACGGGATTTTTCTTCCCCCTATCTGACATTGGTCCCAGGCAAAAACAAAGCTTGAAGAGTCAGGCTCAGCATCTGATCTGACACTGCATTTCCTACATTCCTAAGTGGAAAAAAAAAATCAAGAGAAATAAATGCATCACACTGCTTTTATAAACAACCTTCTGATTTTCACACAGATATACAGGTGAGATTTCTTTATCCATTTACATTGTCCCACATATATGTCTACCATTGTTAAGCATTGTTCTGTTTTTATTTAGTATATATAATGCAATGACCTAGAAGCTCCAAGAGAAAAAATACTTTGGGGATATTACTAAGCAGCCTCTTGGCATTTCTGGGCATTGTTTTAGTTTGTACCTGTGACAATGTATCTGTTAATACTTTCCTTAGTTGGAAAGTCTCTATGTTGGTAATAAATTCTGAAAATTACCAAGTTAGGTTTAAAATACATCTCTTCACTATGTTACATTTTTAAGAGGCACTATTATATGTGTTGGAAGTAGTTAAGAAAAATACCTTCATTAGTTGTGTGGCCTCTTAGAGTGCTGATATGCTAAAAGCTGATCTTATACTCAAGATGTTGCTGCATAGAGCAGTTAGACATAAAAAGGTCTTTTTTATATATTCCTCTTTTTGGAAGGTTTATTGTCCTTTTCTACCCAGTGATGCTGCTTGTCTTGGATCTTGACATTATTTAACTATTTTTTTAACAATGCTGCTTTTGGATCTATTTTTGTGAGCTGCTGAGTACCTTCGCCTCATTTTGACATCAATAAACATTGAAAGAATTCATTTCAGTTCCTGCAATGGTTAGAGACTTACAGCACTGAGTAGAATTTTTAGAGGATGCTGGAAATCATTGTACAAGTGACTTGTAGAAAATATCCCATCAGTAGGATGCAAAAATATACATGTCTAGAAAAAGGCAGATTTTTCTACAGACAGAACTATAATGATGTCATATCATATTTTTTAATATTCATAATGCTGTAGACTACTCTTAATTCTCTTCCCTTTGTCTTTCATTCCAAAAGGGAGAGGAAACTACTGCTCAGCTATATTTAGAAAAAGCTTCTGGGCTGCTTTAGTGTTGTTTATTTTTCATTTTGGAAAGTATTTTTTTCTATTCTGACTACAAAAACAGTTCATCTGATATAATACAACCATCAGTTCTTATATATGTGTTATATTGCTCAGAGGTATTCAGCATTACCAAGGCTTCTGAAATCTTTTGTTGTTTTTGTGTATGTTTTAGTCATTGTGTAAGATATAGCAGTACTGAGGGCACTGTTATGAAAAAGTACAGCCCAGAAAAAAACGTGTTAATCATTAACTAATTGTGTTTGTTCAAAATTCTGATGTGCTACTAAGTGAGGGTAAAAGTCTCTGGAACTCCCTTGCCTTTAATTGTGCCAGCAGACTCTCAAAGGAACAAAAATTGCACCTTCTGAATAATATCCAGAATAAACAGTATATTTTCAGCAGAGAAAGAGATGACCCAATACTTAGAGCAAACTTATTTCCATTTGCATAAACCATTTCATTGGTAGATTTGCAATACAGCATTTTTTCCACTACAGTTTCAGAATTTGTATGCAATGTGGAACATGAGAGGTTATTGCAGTGTCATTACTGTAGCAACAGAATGACTTTAAGCACAATTATTCTATGAACCAGATCCAAATTTTTTTGTAAATTTCTAAAATACAAGAAGCTGTAAGAATTAGATTTCATATGTTGTATGTATATTCTTTGGAGAATACTGGTATAAAAGTAGTTGCTCAGGAATTCTTCATTGTTTCTAAGTGTATCTAAAGGAAAATGCTTTCAAATACATTTTTTAAGTTGTTAATATTGAAAATGCTGGCTTTACTAAAATCTGTTAGTGTTTTCACTTGTAAGATCAATATCATTATGAGGTCCATAGCTTTCTGATGAATTTTTTGATCTTTTGTCATTGTAAAATCTCTTTGCAGTGGTGTTCGCATTTCAGTTTAATAAAAGTTCGTGAATAAAATTCCCAGATTTTGTATTTTTTCATGATATGCAACACTTCTACCATATAATATATAGAAAGGAAAAGGAAAATCCAGGCATCTAAGACACTCTGTAGAGCAGGAGCCTGCTGTCCTCCATGGGGAAAGCTCAATGATATATATTTAACCAGTTTTGGTGCACTGAGCAATTGAACAAGATAACACAGATGGCTCACATACCAGGTCACAACTTTTATGTTTCTTTATGACTCTTCATGTTTAAATTATATTTATCATTGAAATTCAGGGATTTGTTTAGCAAAGGTAAAGTTTGATCAAGAAAGGTTGAGAGTTGGGGGGGTCCTAAAGTGTGTAAGCACTGCCCTGGTTACTAGAGAGTATTAATCTCTGACATTTTGCTCCAACACTGGGCAGTTTTCCTGCAAAACTAGGGCTGCCCCCCAGGCTACCTGTGGTCAGCCTTCTGCCTTAGGAGCAGGATCATCAAAAGCACTGTGAAATACCTCTCACTGACAAATGTGTCTAGTTACACTGTGTGCCAATTTCCATTCCCGGAAATGCCACCTGACCCTTGATCCTTAAGTATTACAAGGATGTTCTGGTTTGGGCTGGTGCAGAGTTAATTTTCCCCACAGCAGCTCGGACTGTGTTTTGGATCTGTGCTGAACACAGTGATGATAACAGAGATGTTTTTGTTGTTGCTGAGCAGAGCTTACACAGAGCCAAGGCCTTTTCTGGGTGTGTGAGAGGCTGGAAGGAGACACAGCTGGCACAGGTGACCCCAGCTGACCAAAGGGATATTCCAGACCATGTGACATCATGCTCAGTGTGAAGTACTGAGTAAAGAGAGAGCATTTGGAGCGATGGCATTTGCCTTCCCAAGTCACCATTACACATGACAGGCCTTGCTCCCCTGGAGGTGGCCAAACTCCTGCCTGACCGTGGGACATGGTGAATTAATTCCTTTTGCTTTGCTTGTATGTGTGGGTTTTGCTTTTCCTATCAAACTCTCTTTATCTCAGCCCAAGAGTTTTCCAGCTTTTACCTTTCCCTTCCTCTCCCCATTCCCACTGGTGGGGGACTGAGTGCATGGTTGCCCGGGGCTGATGGCTGATGGCAGGTAATGGAGGAAGGAAATACAGCTTCCCACTGTTTTGACAAAACCAAAACAAGGGAATAAATAGGTCATCGGCATAGAGAGGTTATCCCTCTCAGCTTACCTGCCGCTTTCTCCCCATCCGCGCAGATGTATTTAACATAACACAATTCACAGAATCGCAGATTGGGTTAGGTTGAAGGGCACCACAGTGGGTCATCTGGTCCAAAATCCCTGCTCAAGCATCACCCCAGGGGACACAGCAGAGGACTGCATCCAGACAGTGCTTGAGTATCTTCTGTGAGGGAGACAGTCTTCTTTACTGTGTGTTTGATTGTGCTCTTCCCCCGCATGATCACATGCAGTCATTTTTCTCATGTAAAGATTTTTCTCATGTTCAGGTGGAATTCTCTGTGCATCAGTTTCTGCCTGCTGTCTCATGTCCTGCTGCCTGGTACCACTGGAGAGAGCCTGGTCCATGCTCTGACCCCTCCCTGCAGACACTGACAGACAGGGATGAGGTCCCCTCGGGATGAGGTCCCCTCTCAGTTGTCCCTTTTCAAGGATGAGCAGGATCAATTCTCTCAGCCTTTCCTCATAAGAGAGATGGTCCAGTCCCTTGATCACCTTTGCAGCTCTCTGCTGGACCCACTCCAGGAGCTCCATGTCTCTGTTGTGCTCCAGAGACCAGCACTGAGCACAGACTCCGGGTGAGACCTCACTAGAGCTGAGAGGCAGGGCAGGATCACCTCCCTGGAATTTCTGGCCGTGCTCTTCCAAAGGCATCCCAGGATTCTGTCGGCCTTCCTGGCCACAGGGCCACAGCCGGCTCATGCACAGTTTGGTGTCCACCAAACCAGGACCCCCAGGTCCTGCTCCACAGAGCTGCTTTCCAGCAGGTTGGGCCAGCCTGCGCTGGTACCCAGGGTTGTTCCTCCCCAGGTGCATTTTCCTGTGTGGAATTTCAGAGTCCTTCTCTGATCACTTCTCCAACCTGTCGAGGCTCTTCTGAAGGCCTCACAGTCAAGCTGTGTCAGAAGAAGACTCGGGATGGGACAGCGCAGGGTGACATTAAGGGGACAGCACGCGATGACACAGCAGAAGAACCGCACGGGATGACTCTGGGGGACAGCATGGGATGACATCAGGGGAATGGCATGCGGTGGCACCGGGGGGACAGCCCCGCACGTGTGGGGGCGGTGCCGCTGCCGGGGCGGGCGGACATGGCGGGGCGGCTGAGGCGGCTCGGCGGCGGTGAGGGAGCGGCGCGGGGGGCGCGGGGGGCGCGGGCCGCGGGGCTGCGGGGCCGGGCCCGCCGGGGCCCACACCGCTCCGTGCAGCTCGGGAGGGATGGCAGCACCGGGCCTGTACGCGGGGTGGAAGCACTTTGGGTGTAGCTGCAAGTCTCGTGGGAAGGGTTCCAAGGGTAAAACTTCCCTAACTCATGGGTTTTCAACTACTCTTTTGAGACTGGACTCTTGTGGATTCTATATTCATTAGCGCTGTAAGTGGTTGTAAGGGAAGTGACGTTGTGTCTTATTAATTTCAGGAAACTTTCTTTTTTGGTCATTTACATTTCACGTGTCTTAGAAATTTGTTAAAACCTTTGGCTTTTAAAAACAAATGTGTAACTCTTAGTAGATAGTGTTCTAGGTGCAGAAGTAGAGTATCTTGAAATAATTCCTTGCAGAATCACAGGATGGGTCAGGCAGGAAGGGCACGCAGTGGGTCCAGCCTCCCTGCTCCAGCAGGGCCATCCCAGAGCACTTGGCACAGGATTGTGTCCAGAGGGCTCTTGAATATCTCCAGCGAGGGAGACTCCACAACCTCTGTGGGCAATCAGTGCCTCTTTCTGGCACCTGCTGAATTGCATGGGCAGTTCAATGAAAAGCAGGACGGTGTGATGTTCCCAGGGTTTTGGAGCAAGGATGGAAGATGCAACTGGAGTTGCATCTGGGTCCTAAGCACAGCTTGCGTCCCCTGAACAGCCTCCCCAGGGCTGTACCCCTTGCACAGGAGCCCTGTTTGATCTCTGCCCTGAGCCGTCAGTCCCTGCCTCAGCTGAGCCTTGAGCCTTGCCACCAGCCCAGCGCTGACTCTGTCTCCTGGATGGACCTTGCATTTCTTCTGTAGCCTTTTGTCCAGCCTCTGGCCCCATCTGCTGCTCCTGCCTGGGCTCCCTCGGTGGACCCTGGACCTGACTTAGCTCCATTTATGCGGGGTATTCTTGGTGAACTCTGCTTTTCCCACCTCGTTCAGGTCTGTTGAACCTCTGCCCTGCTCCCTGGGAGCACTGCCCATGCTGCAGACACCCTGGGCATCTGAGTGTAGAGCATTCAGCCACTGCTTCCAGATATGAACTTGTATTAGAAACTGGTTTTATTTTTAAAATAAAAAATATTCTTTTGTCAAAATAGAAGTCCATGTGAAACTGAAAACTTGCGTTTTAATGGATGAAACATAAACAACTTTCTTTTAAAATTACGTATATTCTGCCTCTTACTTATTTTTCCCCAAAGAAAACTTCTCAGACCAAAACAACCATCCAAAACTTTCTGTGATTGTAGCTTGTGTGTTCATTGAACAAGCTTATTGAGCAAATATTTTAGGTTTGTAGTTTGCCAAGTGTTTCATAATTCTCTTACTATTTTATAGTTGCCTTTATGCAGCAGAAATGGAGAAGTTCTGTCTCCACACAAGCAAAAATGCCTCCTTGTGATTTTGTACCTGAAAAATATGAAGTAAGTCATGCATACTACGCTGAATTTAAATAATGCTTCATTACTGGGTTTGGGTGATAGGTTCATCTGCTAAATATGATTATAAAATTTGCTCCTTTGGGCACAGCCCAACTGCTACAGCTAGAATATAACCTGGAGATGTACCTGTGTGACAAATCTGTAATTGGAAAACATTTAAGATAGAGGCATGTGCAGAACAGCAGCCTTATTTCAAAAAGCTGAGTTTCAGAGATTTGTAGAACAGCCTTCTAGGTGCCAGAATCTGTTATGATCTTAATCCTGTAGACAGCTGTGTAACCTATGTGCTCCACAACAACTCCATGAGTCTGGATCCTTAGAAGGCATGGATGGATACTGACTGTTTTATTCCACTCAGTCCTATCCATATGAACGTGTGCAGAAGATCCGTGAACAAAATATTGCACCGTCACTGCGAACGTATTACAAGAAGCCACTGCTGCTGCACCAGGGACACATGCAGTGGCTGTTTGATCATGAGGGACGAAGATACCTTGATCTCTTTGCTGGAATTGTCACTGTCAGTGTTGGACACTGTCACCCGTAAGTATGTTGCTTTTTGATTTATGGTATAAAATACAGGAAGAGATACCTATGCTTGTTTTGTTCTTCATTAATCTGCAGCACTGTGAGCCTAAAACCAGAGTATAACTTACTGAATTGACATGTGTCACAGTTCAGTTTCTGCTACATTTTGAAAAATTCATTAATTTGGTCTACTTGTTCCTCCATCTGGCGCACAGTGCAGCATCTGCGTTTGCAGAATCAATAGCACAGAGGTATGTGCATGTATGATTGAGGAGTCTGTGTGGAATTCAATCCCTTTGTCTCTCCCTTGCTACATGCAGAAAGGTAACTATGGCTACCCAGAAGCAGCTGGCTCGCCTGTGGCATACCACCAACATCTACATGTACCCAGCAATCCACGAGTATGCGGAGAAGCTAACTTCTCTTTTTCCAGATCCACTGAAGGTAAATTGCTTCTGACAGGAGCAGGGGCTGGTGAAGTGGGTCTCTGTTTATAAGAAGTATTTATTAAATAATTGAGAGCTATGATATCTCTAGAGAGAAAATCTGTATGGGGAATACAACCTGTCAGTTAAAGAGCATGAGGGTCCTCAGGGCCTTTTCTTTAGACCAGCTGTAGACAAGCATAATATCCCCAATTTCTGTTCTGTTTGCTTTCTCCCTTCACCTGTCACTGTGAAGAGGCATTGCAGGCTTAAAAATTACTTTAGAGAAACAAAGAAGATATTTACTATTCTTACATATAGCTGGTCTTAATTTTCTTGATCTCATGAAAATCCACAGTGAAAATTGTTTGACAGTATTTTGTGTAGTATATATAAATGTTTACCGACATCTAAATAGATAAACCACAAAAATGTCATGTTTCATATTTACTGAAATAGTAAGAAAAATAATTTTTATTTTCAGGTAAAATAAATTGGTGATAAAATGAAATTGGGCTAGCAGAAGAGCATGAAGCTAGTGCAGTCTTAAAAATGGAAGGAGAGTAAAAAAAAATTTAAATGTCCTGCTTAGTTTGACCCAAAACTTTCATTTCTTTCCATCAGAAATCCATCTTAGGAAATCCTGTAAACTGAAACCTTTTGAGATTTTTCTGTACCCACTGAGAGCACATCATTGGATCTTTGTTCTTATCTATAGTGTAAGGGTAATGCTAATTTTATTGTGGTGAGGTCACCCTGTAGCAGTGCCAGGCTAGAATTCATTGTGTTACTAAGGAACGTGGTCTGATGCCGACGAAGAAGGAGGTGTTTTTGTGCTGTACTGATCCCAAGTGTTCTCCCACAGGTGGTTTATCTCACCAACAGTGGTTCAGAAGCCAATGATTTAGCTATGTTCATGGCAAGGCTACACACTGGTAACTTCGACATCATCTCTCTCAGGTAATGCCGGCGGAGTTTCACAAAACTACTCTGTGTGTGGGATCACTCTCTACGTGCCTAAAACCAGAAATAACTGAGAACTCCTTTACCCCAGGTCTGCAGAAGAGAATGCTGTAAAATTACTTTATTTGACAAAAAGGAGTAAACCAGGAGCTGAAGTTTTCATACAGCATGTTAGGACTAGTTTGCAATAAAAATGCAACCTGCAATTTTTGCTTGTGTTACCTAGAAAATGATCTGATGTCTGTATTCAGGGTGTGCTTTGGTAGACTTTTATTCATGACCAGACCAAGACTGAGCAACTGCTTCATTCTTCCTCCATTTCCCTTCTGCAGTGCCCCCGTGTGTGGGGTGCAAAGGTACCTCTGGAACAGCAGTGCAGTGAACCTCAGCAGGGAACTGCTGTGCCTGGGAGCTGATTTTTGTTTTGTTTGCTTTCTGTCTTGTTATTCTATTAGGGCCCTGAACCACAGTTCACTGCGCAGGTACACAAACAGCTCTTCTGGCTTAATGGCAGGGATGGATGTGGGCTGAACACCAGTACACTGTAAACACCAGCGTAAACAGTTCACTTTACTGGGCAGCCCAGGGCACCTCAAATATTAGAATAAAAGGCCATGTTAATGAAGAGCTGTATTTTTCTGTTACTGTGTTCAACAGAACATTGGGTACCTACCTTGCTTGTGTATCCTCACTAACGAATTTGATTTGTATATAAAACTGACAGCAAACCACCACTTAGTTTGATGACTGGCAATGCTTGCTGGAGACAGCAGCTGTTTCCAAGATTCAAAAGACAGAGATGTTTGCTCTGTAGGAATCAGGTGCTACATGAAGCAGAACTTCATGAGGCACTGGCTGAATTACTGTTGGTTCCAATGATTATATTCATCTCCTCTCAAATATTTCTTCACAGTTTTTATATTTGAAATAGCAGAGTCAAAAGGCAGAGCAAAAAATTGCAGTAGAAATCTTCTTTGTCTCAGTGCAACAGTACACATTTTCTTCAACAATTTATATCTCAGAAGCATGCCTTCTCAGAACTGATATTCCTCCAGACAGTTATTGGAAATGAGTGATGTTGATCTGCTTTGTTTTTTTGAACAGAGGAGGATACCACGGAGGCAGCCCTTACACGCTGGGTTTGACATCCCTGACTCCTTATAAGCATGGTGTTGCCAATGGCTTCGGCTGTACAACTGTGAGAATTTTTTAAATTTTTTTTTAGTAATCTGGGTAACTAACAGTTTATTTGAGTGTTTCAGCAATGCTGAAATATGTTTGCAATGTTTTCTGCTCTCAAGCCCTTTATGGCCACTAATCAAAACTGCAGTATAGCAGTTTCTGCTGTGTAAATTCAACAAGAGCCAGAGTCCCCTTTTCTTCTATGGATAGTTTCTTATGCTTATTTGCAGTTAGGACAGCCATAACACAAGTGATCCGTGATTTGCAGTTCTTTAGTCATGCTTGGTGTTTGCATGGGAGTCTGTGTAAGGAGCAAAATAATGTTCTGAACCCCTTTTTTCAAGTTTGTTTTGGCAGATCTGTGCAAAGCTGCTTTCAGATGGTCTGGAGCAGATCCTTCACTATAATGAATGGGAATCCTATTTCAGCAAGACAGGAGACACATCTGTTAAGGAGATCCACTGAGGTTAAATGGCAGCATGTTATGTCCCTGCCCTTGAGCAGATTGGAGTAGCTTTCTGTCTAGAAGCTGCTTTTGCTGACTCCAGTAGTTACAGGTGACAGCTCAGCCACATTGTTAACCATAGGAAGGCTCATCTACAGCAGCTTCCCAGCCTGTCTCAGTGAGTGCCTGAACTCGTGGTATTTCATCAGCAGCAAGGATTAGAAAGCTGGAGTTGTCTCTATTAGATCTGACTGTCTCACTCTACTTTGCAGATTTTGTTCATATTTCAGATTACTGAAATACTACCAGCAACTCTTAAAATGCTGGCATTACCTTTAGATAACCAAAATCCTGACTAAGAAGGAAAAAAGGAATAAAAAATCAGTTGAGTGGCTATTGCTGGAACAGTCTAAACTTTTTGGTTTCAAAACTGCCTTGGTTATTTGGTGTTACCCCCAAATGTTCTTCACACAAGTTCTTTGAACTGTTTGCCCCTTGACTCTTAACAGCTGTTTTTCTGTTTTGTCATTACTCATTAGATCAAAAGATCTCTTAGAAAGGTGTCATCAAATCTGTAGCTATTTCTCTTATGCCTTGCAGACAATGTTACCAGATGTTTTTCGTGGTCCATGGGGAGGCAGCCATTGTAGAGATTCTCCAGTGCAAACTGTTCGAAAATGCAGCTGTACTGAAGGTTGGTCCATGACAAAAATTTTTGGATTACAAAATACTAGAGGGCTGTGAAAATAGGTTATAATTACCTCCTCATGCAAAGTAGATATCTGATTAGGTTTTGCAAGGCTGACTCAAAAAAAAATATTGCAGAGAATCTCAGGACGCTGCATCCCAATGGGAAAAATCTGGGGCAGATGACACCACGTTCTCAGATTTCTTCTTGAAATCCCAGTGGTTTTTTCCAGTATTTGCCATGATCCGCTCTGGAAGCTGTGGAACTCACTTCAGCACATCTGGAAGAACAGAAGTGTTGATGGTTTTTTTGCGGTTTCTAAAGTTCTGACAGCTTTCCATCATTAATATTGGAATAAGGCAAATAGTAAGGACAGTCAGCAATAGGTGGAGGTCTTACATGGGGCAAGATGTTCCATACAAAACACAGTGTGAAATCTCCTCTACTGCTCTGCAGCTAACAACAATTCCAATCAGTTTTTCTACTGTTTCAACAAGCACTTTTTATTATTTTAATTCATATTCTCACATAACAGAATGGTTTGTTTTTAGTTCTGCTGTCCCTGGTGGACGGCAGCATTAGCCATACTAATTGCTCTGTTCTTTATTTAAGCAGAGACTGTATTCTCCAGAATCCTCCCACCTGCACTAACCATGGAGTACACATTTACGAGAAGAGACTCTCTCCTTTAATGTTTGGCTTTTTACTGCTCATTTGAGAGTATTTACCACGTGGTATTTACCACGCAGTCATACAACACTTGTTGCTTAGATGCATAGTTTCACGTTTTGAAGCCAGTTTTGTGTCATATTAAGTAAATTCCCTTCAAACTGTTTCCCCTGTAAACAGGTGCATGTCTTGCAAAAGACCAGTACATTGAACAGTTCAAAGATACTCTGAATACCTCAGTGCCCAAGAGAGTTGCTGGATTTATTGCTGAACCAATACAAGTAGGTAGTTTTTCATTTCTCAGTTGTGATAGCACAAGTAGTGTGAAATAAATACTCAAATCTGATATTCTTTAGCTGCAGCCTGAACATAGATGTTTGCTGAGTCTTACTATGATTTTGTAATGCTTTAAACACCTTAAATGTTTGAAAGATTGGATGCATGGCCTTCAGATTTCAGCTTTTGTCACTGACTTCAATGGAACTAGAATTTTGCTTGTGAAATTAAACACAGAATCATGATTAAACATACACATTTTTTGCTGCATCTAATAGTGAGTGTGATGCATGCTATGGTTTGGTTTCTATTATCTCCTTTCAATTTTCATTAGTATTTCTGTAAACTTTTAACTCAACCCCCTTCTCCCTCTTTAGTCATGTCGTCCACTCTATTTTTAACAGCTGTCCAGCAACTGATGGCCACAGGATTCATTCTCCTAATGTTTCACCCTACATTCATAATTGCTTTATATGTGGTTCTTCAACAGGAAAAATTGAGAACTTATCCCATGCAAGAGAAACAATGTGAGAACCGTGTCTGCAAGGGAAAACTGCAGCATTTCTCTGGTTTTTGCTGTTTTCTAAGTATTTACGTACTTGAGTCTAAAAAGCTATTCTGGTCCAGGTGCAGGGTAAAATTGAATTTCTGAGGCAAATGCAAACTGTCCAGGTGAAAAGACTTTGAGGAGGCAGTGTTCTAAACAAATTAACCAAAGAACGAATATGAATTCTCTGGTCAACTTCATCAGAAAACATTTCCTGGGTTTTGCTGTGTGTAAATTTTCACGGTCCTTTTTTCAGCAGTTTATTGTTAATTGACTTGATCTTACAAGGATCATGGCCTCGCAAACAACTAGCGGAACAGCAGGCAGCACTATGGAATGGTAATGTGTGAACAGGGGCTTTCTGAAGTGATTTCATTGCTGGAGCCAGAAGCTCGTAACAGCCAGTCCTGCTGTTACCTGAGGGCTGCTAGGTTTTTTTTTCTCAAGTAGAATTCCTGTTTCTTTGTTTGTTCCTGAAAACATTGTATTTCTTTCTTGGCAGGGTGTTAATGGAGCTGTTCAGTACCCAAGAAATTTCTTAAAGGAAGCTTATCAGCTTATACGGGAAAGAGGAGGCCTTTGCATTTCAGATGAAGTAAGTCAGATTTTCTTACATAAGAATTCTAGAGTAGGGTACCTCTGAAAGTTATCGTAAAAGAATCCAGGTGAAGCCTGGAAATAATCTAAGTGAAATGCAATATATTTCATAGCTTAAGTTTAACATAGTGTTAAACTGCATCTTTCCAAGCATAGGAGCCTCCCAGTTTTTACTGCCTTTTTTCTCATTTTGGGCAAAGGTAATATTTGTAGCAGACTTCAGTCCTTATCTTCTGGGAGCAGTAAATTTACACAAATATGCAACAAATAGCAACAAGTAGCAACAAATGCTACTTGTGATGGAAGATTTGTCAAAATAACCCTTCCTTTTATGAGTATTGTTGACAGACATAGAATACAGAAGAGACTTGATTGCTGTACCTCTGCAAATGTTTTAGTAATAGAATTTTCTTAGCTAAAACAATATTAAAATAGTATCAAAGGCTTCAAATATTTTTACATTTCCTCTCCACTTTGAAATGAACACTGCATCTTATTTGTGTATCTCACCAGGCTTAAGACATGATGATATGTTATCACATGAAAGAAAAACCCAATTACAATAAATAGCATTTTGTGTAGAACCATCTGAATAAGGGTCCTAATACAAGTTGACTCCAGATATAGTTGCTGTTTAATGCAAATTAGTAACAACTGAAACACAAGAAAAGGAATTATATCATAAAGTGTGAGAAAGTGATGAGTGTTTCTCTGAATTTTTCCTTTGAAAGGTGCAGACAGGATTTGGACGGACAGGCAGCCATTTCTGGGGGTTTCAAACACATGGTGTAGTCCCTGACATCGTTACTTTGGCAAAAGGAATTGGCAATGGCTTCCCAATGGCAGCTGTTGTTACAACAAAAGGTATAAGTGTTCTGTTCCACTATGATCTAAAACAAAATAATTACAAAATATAATACAAAATAATTACTGGTGGAGAGATGTGTGTTTAAAAAGCTGAATGTTACTTAAACCTTTATCTTAATCTATCTTTTGACAAATTAATTGGATCCTCATTGCTTCACTTGTTTCACCACATGTGCTGTATCAGTACAGAGTTGTATTTAAATGGGTTTAGTTGTATAACTGAAGCAGGAATGAACATGTGAGTGGTTTGTAGAGCTGGTAAAGGAGCCTGTAAATCCTCACTGAATTCACTGTTTTATGGATAAATATACTATGAATAAATAGGGCAGGATGTTACCCAGCTGCTTGATTCCTACAAATGGCAGGCTCAGTCTAGTGAGGAAAATCTGTAGATAGCAGGTGAGAGCGTATATTAGAAGTATGACTTTTAAGATAAGTTTTGTTTAAGTATCTGCTAGGCAGTATAGTTTTTGGAAGTACTCATATTTTGCACAGACTGCTTTCAGGAAATGTTGCTGTGTCTCCAGTAGAATCGGAGTTGTTGTTGTCTCCAGTAGAATCGGAGTTGAACCACGGCAGATGAAATTGTTGTTACAGTAACAAATGCTTAAAGCAATTCGGTACAGTTACCAAACAAGGCGCAGGAGGCTAGCGAGATGATCAGAGGGGCAGGGCACCTCTCCTAAAAGGAAAGGCTGAGAGAATTGGGGTTGCTCAACCTGTAGAAAGCTTTGGGGTGACCTATTTTGTCCTTCCAGTGTAAGAAAAATGGAGAGGAGCTTTTTAGAAGAGCATGGAGTAACAGGACAAGGAGGAATGGCTTTGAACTGAAAGAGATTAGGTTTAGATTAGATATGAGGAAAAAAAACATTACTGTGAGGGTGGTGAGGCACTGGCACAGGTTGCCCAGAGAAGCTGTGGGTGTCCCATCCCTGGAAGTGCTCAAGGCCAGGCTGGATGGGGCTGGGAGCAACCCAGTCTGGTGGAAGGTGTCCGTGGCCATGGCAGAGGGGCTGGAACTGGATGATCTGTAAGGTCCCTTCCAACCCAAACCATTCTCTGATTCTATGATTCTGTGATGCTATGAACTGAAGGAGTAACCAGTGTTGTTCTTTTTCTTTTAGAGGTTGCAAGTTCCTTGGCTCAAAACCTTCACTTTAATACATTTGGAGGAAACCCTTTGGCCTGTGTAGTTGGAGCTGCAGTTCTTGATGTAGGGAGACTATTATATGAATTTATGTGTACCACAAGGTCTTTGTATCAAAAGATGAAAGTTGCACATATAAGTTTCTATGTGGGCAATTTTTAAAATAACTAAATGAAGTGCATAACCATATACATGTGCATGGCCAGTGTGTCCCATATAAAGTAAAAAATCCTGATTAATTTAATTGCAAAAATTTTCAGATCTCTAGAAGGAGTAGGAGCCCTATAATTATGACTTCAGAATTATCTTTATCATCTTTATCTCCCTTGGGTTCTCTACTTTGTTAATAAAATTGTAGGAGAGTACTTACTCAAAAGCCTTATCTAATTCTTTCATAACACTACACAAATCCACAGCTAAGAAAATCTATTTTCTGGCATACATGCTTAGTAAAATTTTACTTTATGCTTTATGCATAAGGCTTTATGCTTACTTTATGCTTTTACCTTATGCTTAAAAAAACCTTAATGACCAGACAGTTACAAATACCTAAAGTCAGAAATCCTTCTGGAAAAAAAAAATTACCTCATGAAAAAGGAAATAGAAAAATGTGCAACATATTTCACTTATTATCCAGTAGAAAATCAGTCAGTGGGTAGTAGGTCACTAGTACAAATCAATTTGTCTTGATTATGCACAGAACATTCATTCCTGAAGCTCACTTCATTACAGCAGACACTGATTCTATTCATGTTATTTTCCTGAGTGGCTTGGGGGGTTTAAGCTATTAATAAGATGGATGATTGTATAAAGAACCCATGTTTTGGGGTTTTTTGACTGTGAAATAACTTGGAGCCTGGCTCTGAAATAATTCCAGGGAAATTGTTAGAGTCAGGAAGAATAAAATGGAGTTGAAAGAAAAAGAAAAAAATTTAAATTAGAAACAGCTAATTTATCTTCTGTAATTATTTTTAAATGTAATTTTTCTAAATGCAGATGTTAAGTTCATCTAATGGTTTGTGTGTAGATGCCAGTATGTGCCTGCAAATAAGAACTCTGATTAAGGAAGACAGTGCAAAGAATGAAGAAAAGATTGTTATTAAAAACCATGTTGTTGCTAAATATAATATTCAAGCTGTTCCCTGCCTAGTGCACACAGATAAGCCTAGTCAAATTGTGTTCTTCTCATGATACTGAAAAAAATATTCTTGTAAGATTTTGAAAATAATCCTTCTGGTCAGGTATTTTCCAGTTATGAGTACATGTGAGCAGGAATTACTGGATTAAATGTAAGTATTAAGAAAAATGTGTAAAGTGCCACAGAAATATCAAAGTATTATGTACAATTGTATTCTGATGTTGATAAGAGGATTTTAAGAGAAGGAAAATGTGAGCAGTGAGGTAGTCAAGGAACAGGGCAAGGAAGTGAGATAAAGTGTCAAGTTCAGTGGGGATTAACAGAATGTGTTGAAAGCTTTTCCTGCAACACTGTCATGGTACTTCATTTTAAGCAGGCTATTGAAGAAGATGGTCTACAAAAAAATAGTGAGGATGTGGGGACATACATGCTGCTGGAGTTGGCTAAACTACGGGATAAATTCGAGATTGTTGGAGATGTCCGTGGCAAGGGACTTATGATTGGAGTAGAAATGGTGACAGATAAGGTTAGTGACTTCATTCCTTTCAATTTACAGTGCCATTGAAGGTTTTATCACATTTTATTTTACTTGAAATAATAGAAATATTTCCTGTCAAAAGGCAGACAGTGCAGTGGGAAAACATTGCTCTGGCTAAAAATGAGCCAGAACATTCCATCATTCTGCTGTTTCACAAGCTTTGAGTAAACAATGACATGTGCCTTAACTGCACAGGCTCAGGAGAGCAGGTAAGTTGTGCAGATATACTTTTCAGCTAGAGTTGGGATTTATTGGAGACTGGAATATACATCTTTGTCATTTAGAACATCTGAGTGAAGTTTAGTATCTCCTTTCCTTAGGACAGCCGACGCCCTCTTCCAGCTGAAGAAATCAATCAGATCTGGGAGGACTGTAAAGACCTGGGGGTTTTGATTGGCAGAGGAGGGCTCTACAGTCAGGTACTGAACCTCTGGTTCTAAATAAAGCTTATTTTCTATCCTTGTGAACTACATCCTTGCTTCTCTCATGTTAAGTTAATTTAGTTTAGTAAATAAATGTTTAATGTTGCTTATTTTAAAACTGGGAAGGAATAGAAATATGATTATTTTCAAATATTCTGAACAAGCTCAAGCCTTATCCCTCAGAGGGACAACTTCCCCTAGAAAACCAAGGTACTACAGTCTATGCAATTTAGAACTCAGCAATACTCAGGACCAAGTCTTTGCACCGTTTAGGTTATCACCTGACACATCAGTACAAAGCTAGTAGTTCTTGGAGTCTGGGGACCTGGTAATGTTCTAATTCTATGGTAATTAAAGGGGAAAAAAATGGTGTTGACAGCAAGTTCAGCAACAGCACAGAAGAGAGACTTGGATGTGAAGGCCGTGAGCCCACATTAGCTGACAGTGTACTCCATGCTGTCACCAGGACACTGCTCCAGCTCCCTGCAGCACTCAGTTAATTGCAGAGAATTGCCTCAGGGCTGGCCCACTCGGTGAAGCCCTCTGACACAAAGGAGGCAGCTTCCATGTGAGATGGATGGAGGGCAGCTGAAATAAATCAGACACTGTCTCTGTCACCTCATCAGTTCTTCCCTAAGTCACACACCAGGAGGCAGGTAGTGAGCTGAAGCTCAGTGCAGTAGAATCTCATTCTGTCTGATAAGAGGGCTGTTTACATGTGAGTGTTTGCTTCAGCACGGGCTGTGGGTGGGAAAGCCCATTACTCTGCTCTTCCTGTATTAAGTCCCGTGACGTGATGTCAGAAAAATCTGAAATTTAAGATTCTTATGGAAAATAAACACTCTTGGAAACATGGATCGAACATTCAGATTTCAGAGACTATGTTCTTGACAAGTGTAGCTTGACAAGTGTAGCTGTACATATAACCCTTCCTGATCAACATCCTTTCCAGCTATAGCACCCTAACTACAATATAGTATTTAGTGATTCATTCATAATGCATTCTCTTAAAAGCCTTTAAAACAGCCTATAATGAAAGAGCAAATCGGCTGACACAATGCAAGAGCCTACCACTCTCAGCAGATACTACTTTTCCCTGTGGTGGAGCTGCAAGAAAGGAAAATACGTCTGTCTCCATTATTTCTTCGTACAAATCCATCTGAGATTTTACTCTGTCTCTGTCTGCCGAAACAGCTGCAGACACGACCTACTCTACTTAGGTCTTTTGTGGAGGCAGTTAGGTTATCAAGCGGGGGTCATGAGTCAGATGCAATTCAGTGCAGTCAAGTTCAAAATTGCTCCACTTCAGAGTACATTTATCATAAGCCTCAGTGCCTGCACTGCTGTTCTCCTTTTTTCCTCACCTTTTTGGGGCGGGAATGCTGACCCAGATAGGCTGCTTGAAACCATATTCTTTCCATACAATTTGAGCATTCCTTTTTCTTTTTGTTCTCTCTCCTCAGACATTCAGAATTAAGCCTCCTATGTGCATTACTAAGGGGGACGTTGACTTCGCTGTGGAAGTATTTCATATTGCTTTACAGAGACACGTGGAAAGAGCAGCTGCAAAACAGAATTGATTGGTTTCCTTACATGAGAGGCACACACAATTCCTGATACTTGTGACCCAGACTGGGCACTAATCTACCCTAGAAAATAAAATCACAGTCTGACAATTACATGTTTGTTCAGTATCATAAGAGCATTCTGACAGATACGGTGTCCAACAAAGGATATGGTGCAATCTGTTTTGTAAATCTGCAGTTCAGTTCTACAGTACTGATTTGTATGAGCTGCACACCTATTTTGCCATTATCAAAAAATCCCTGGCTGGATTAACAGCGTATCAAATGGAGAGACAGGCATATGTTCTCCTTTTTTTCTGTGAAAATCCTATCAAAATCAGTAATTTTTAAAAGAGCGACAGAAAGAGTTGGGAAAGAAATTTCAGAGTTAAAACTGTTTACCCTGCCTACAAGATCACACTGTAATTAGAGCATTACAAAAAGTTTGCAGACAGTTGAGACGTTTCTAATTACAATAATTATTTTTATCATGGGGATAAGAAATCCAGTCATCACTCTCCAAAATACACTTCTCTTTTCCTCCTGTTGCTTTTGGGATTGCACAGCATACCCATTAATCATTTTGTAAAGGTACAAACTCTGGAAGGTGGAATAAAATGTTCTTTCTTACATAATCACTTTTTAATGTATAAGGTCACTGCTTCCTTGAGTTTCCAATAAAAAAACAGATGTTGTGGACAGTCAGCAAGAACTGTACATTTATCATTTTAATTTTATTTCAATTTTAATATTGGAAAAATTCCTTGATCCAATAAAGTGTCATGTCAGGCTGGGGGAGGAGAGTATTCTGCCAGTACTTCAGAGGAACTTTGGTAGCAGACCATCAGTACCTCTCCAAATCTTACTCCACGGGTTCTAAACAATATTGTACAGCCTTTGCTGAGCACTGCCTTATCCAACTCCATTCATAACTCCTGTGTACAAAGAAATTCCACTCCAAAATCAGGTGTTTGTTATCCCACCTTTTTATTTCCTACTAAGATCAGGCAGATTATGCCTTTAAACAGAAGTCTTTCCTTAGAAATCAGAACAAATTAATTCATTCGTGTCACTCATTTATTTCTTCCTCACTTAGTGCAGCAAGGCTGTTCCACTAGATGTTTTTTCCCCAACACCTGCCATGGAGGAAGATGTACAAAACAAATAGGGATTGTCAAAACTGGTTAAACAGCTTTGTCATCTAACGTCTTCCCTTCCATCTGCTGCTCAATGTAATTAAGTAATCTGAGGATGGCAGAAGAAAAGCCCGTATTTTGGCAGTGCTTCATATTTGATAGAGGATCAAGAATCAAAGAATATTCTGAGTTGGAAGGGATCCACTAGGATCATCAAGTCCAGCTCTTAAGTGAACAGCCCATAGAGGGATCAAATCCATGACCTGGGTGTTCTTAGCACCAGGTTCTCACCAACAGAGCACAGGCCCTGCTACTGGCTACTCACCTGAGCTGAGCCCTCTCAAAAGAAAATCAACAGCACACATGTCAAAATAATTTATTATTTCCTCTGTGTGGAAATAATCCATGCAGGTTCTACAGGAACACAGGGTGAACAGCTTTGAGTTACTATTTCCCCACCCATGGTGTGAAAGCTGCTCGGGGTACAGGGCTTTAGACAAGGTGGCTTGGTGGAAAGAACACGCACCTGTGCCATGACACCAAACCACTCTATGAAAAAAGGAAGGCTTTTAAAAACAGAAGACAGCACAGAGTCTTCCACAAGATAGTACTCCTTTTGTGCATCTTCATTCTTTTCCTACATTGGTACTTGCCTTCTTTGTTTAACTCCAGACACATGCAGTGTGCATGTTTCAGTTCTTTGAGAGCGTTAATGTACAATTCTGAAGACTGTCCCTATAGCAAAGTTCTATCTGTTTTTACGTTTCTCTTTTTTGTTTTTGGTGTTCACAGCTCCATTTACAGTCAATGTTGTTGTTGCTCTTGCATGTCCTGTGACTTTCAGGTGTTCAAACAATTTATTTCGGGATGGAAATGCACAGTTGCAGGTTACACAGTGGATAGGAACTTCACTCTACAATGAGGAGAAAAAAAACCCAGAATGCTTCACATTCGTATTGAACATGTCATCAGTGCAATATACCAATTTCTTGCACACAGCTTCTCCTTGGCAATGAAGCAGGAATAAGCTGTTTCTATCATCAATATTTCATTATTCATTAACAATTAAACACGTATCTTTAAAAAAATAATTGCAAATATAACTTCAAGATATTTCAAAGGGCTTTAAGTAAAATCAAGAATGGAAGCCTTGCAAATCTAATTCAAAGTAAAGGATAGTTTTGATCTCACCTGACCATACAGGTAATGCTTTGGGCTCAGAGATGCAATGAATTTAATATGTCTTAGCTGTAGTTACTACAGAGTTTTGCTCTCCGGCAAACATCAATATTGAGAAAGATGCAAACAGAACTGCCTGTCACCTGCTGGGTGACAACAGCTCTGTCCCCAGCTGTTTAATTTATTTGCACATAGAACTTCACCAGCTCTCCTAGAAATGAAGCTGAGTCCTGCACTTCTCTGTGAGGACAAGAGCTGAAGTTTCAGTTCTATCAAAATCATAGCAGCAGAATTGGTGGACTGGAGGTGACCAGAAAACAGCCTTCTTTGTAGTTACATGACCCCCACCTTTCAGCTCTCCTGTAAAGACAGGCTGAGAAAGATGAAGAGAAGGTTCCAGGGAGAACTCAATGCAGCCTTCCTGTGCCTTAAGGGGGCTAACATAAAGGAGAGAGTGACTTTTTATACAGGCAGAGTGACAGGAAAACAGGCAATAATCTTAAACTGACAGAGGGCAGATCTAGATTACACATTATGAAGAAATTCTTTACTGTAAGGGTGATAAGGCACTTGCATAGAGAAGTATGATTCCAACCTATGAATAAATTCTACTTTAAATAGCATAAGTAATTTGACATACCATTGTTGAGCTCTCTGAAGACACCTTAGCAGACTTTTTTGCTTCCTTGGCCTTTTTGCCTTTAGGCTTAGTGCTGCTAACAGACAAAGAGGAACCAAAATCAGTGCACAGGAACATTTAGTATTTACAAGCTTCTGATGTTTTCCAGTTTTCAATGTCTCTGGTGCTTTCCCCTGTTCTTGCTTCATGCAACAAAATGTATCTCCAAAAAAAAAAAATTAATTTATACAGTCAATTGTTAATCTCAGAATGTTGAATCAGCTCCTGAGAAGTGATACAGCAGCAATCTGCAGTCAAATACCACTCCTAGAGAAGTTCCTACATGCTTTGTTGAATATCATACTTATTCAAACCAGTTTTGGTGAGCAGCCCCCAGAGTCCACATTTGAGAGTAAATCTAGCCTTGTTTGATAGTATCAAACATGACACAGAATGACACAGTGACTGCAATGTTGCAACCCAACACACCTTTTTGCTTCACTTTTTGTTTCATTCTCTTGGCTGACATCATCCGTAATGCCTACGTCCTCCAACATAGCACATCTTTGGCCATCACTTAACTCCTCTGTTGAGCCACTGCCCTTCTCCGTGCTGCTGGGCACTTCCTTTTGTTCAACTGTTTCTTCGTCAGCACTTTGATCAAGAGAGTCCTCATAACTCTGTCCAAACAAAAAAAATCCAAGTTCAATACTTTCAGTTCGTTAGTGACTATGTTTATAGTATTATACTCATTTACCTCAAACATGGGTGGGTTGGGAGGAGAGAAAGCCATGGACCCTCTTAATTTTACTGTGTGTTTTCAGTGAGACTGTAACATGTAAAACCTTAGTTCTCCTGTTTTGAAAGATGAGGCCACCTGTGGTGAAGGGAAGAAACACCAATAAAACAGCCTCTGAAACTACAGAGGAGGAGAATGAAGGTAGCTTTTAATTGCACACAGGGTTCATGGTTCTGACTACCATTTCTTATTTCACAGGTAGTGGCTTGGCTTATAACTTTGCAGAGTGCACAGTCTTAGCTACCTGAAAAAAACTTGGCTAATTCTAACTTCAGGAAAAGGAGACAAAACCCACAGAGATTCCCAGTACTCCACAATGCTTGGCAAAGGATGAAGGTGAGGATTTCCCAGCACAAGACTGCAGCTCAAGCAATGCAAGAGTGGCACCTACTGTCCAGGCTGTAGTAAACTGATGGAACAGAGCCATGGTGACTATGTGCCACCTCTGCAGTAAGAACAGGCCTTCTGGTCTCAAACATAGGAGGAAAGAGTTAACTGAAGCCTCATGGCCTGCACAGAAACATGAAGGTCCAGCCAATACTCGGACTATTCCACTGGACCAGCCAATGTGAAGCCAGGAAGCTTCAGCTCCTTGAAAGACTCAGAAAAGTTTCTTAAGAACAAGACATAATGATGTAGTGGGAGAGGTCAGAAAAGGTGAACAAAGAATAGGAAATCAGAGGGGAAAGCATGGAAGAGGCATGACCTGGTACAGACAGCTCACACACTGGAACAAGGCTAGGCCTGAGGAGTAAGTAATTGAAAATGATGAAGTTTGAGGAAGGCAGATAGAGGAGCATGCTGACTATGACACCCCTGCCACTCAAGCCTGAAACAGCTTGCTCTTGGTGAATTTCACCTGCTGATGTCAGATCTGTGATATCACACACAGACTCAGATCCTGGAGTACAACAGATTGGTGTTACTTTTGTTTACAGTTCAAGAGAAAGGTGGAATTGATGTGTTCACTCCAACAGATAGAGTGCCAGCAGGAAACCAATACTATGGCAGTCTTTTTGACCCTCTCTGAATTAGAGATTAAAAAACAATGCATTATACAAAGTCCTACAACTAAAGCCAGAAGTGGCCACCAAACTGAGCTCTTAATGCACCAAGGCCACTCCTGGTCTTACTGATCAATTCCTTGCATTCTCCCTATCTGCCCGTTTCCATCTGTTTTTCTTATACTTCAGACTACAGCCTTTTTAGAGTCAGCACCACATATTAACATCTGCACTACCAGAACAAAGTGAGGCCTATGATGTTATTATCATAAAATATGATTATAATAAGTCTACTAAAAGTTATGCTGGTGGCAAAAAAATATTAAAAATATTTTTAAATAGTTTTCAAATTCTGTGGAATTTCAAGTTCTATTTTGCAGGACAGAGAAATAATTTGTCAGAAGTTAAATGCCAGTTTCGTCTTCTTAAGAAAACTGGGTTGTAAAGTTCCCAGAGCAGGATTACGGCTACATACCTTCATTGTTTTCTGCTTCCTCCTTTGTTTCTTTGAGAGTCTGTGAAGATAAGTTTAAAATTACCCTTTTTTTACAGAAAAACCCCAAAACCTAGTAGGATATCTAAAAAAATACCAAGCTGTACTTTTCCTTATCCTCTTAATACGGTATTAGGTAGCCACAAAAAGAAAGTTACTCATGCCAGAAATAAAACAATAGGTCTCCCAAACTACTCACTGCATTTAGTAAAACATTTGTTCTGCTCAGACTGAACCCAAATATACTAGTGATAGTTTGGATTATGCTCTGGCTGTTTAAAAAATTAAGTAGTGTAACAATTCTGATTTTGAACACACTCATTTTCTATTTATGCCAGCAATCAATTGACAGTAAGTACAAAATCAATAAGCACTAGCTCTGTGGAAGTCCCTCTGCTTGAAAAATAACAAACCCTTCTTTTCCTTAACATATAACTTTAGGCAGCAGAGAAAGCGTAAGTCTGTTGTTTTATGG